CATGATAGACCCTCCCAATGGACTAGAAGGCAGTGTATAGACAGGAAATTGCCCCAAAGTCAGATAAGTTTAACCCCCCTAAAGCAAAGTTAAATAGGGATCAGAGAAGTGCATAGAGAAGCAGCTGCTGGCTAACAAAGGTGATAACAGACACCTCATGGTGCTTACTCTAGACAAGTCTTTTGCTTTCAGTAATGCATCTTAGAAAAGTCTTATCCATTAATGTGAGAAAAATTCTTTTTTTTTTTCGCAGTGTGAACGATATTGTTGCTGTTGGACCGGAGAGTTTTTATGCCACTAATGATCATTATTCTGAGAGTGCGCATATGAAATATCTAGAGGGTTTCCTTGGATTAAAGTTGACAAATGTGGTGTATTACAGTCCAGAGGATGTTCAAAAAGTGACGTCAGGACTTTACAGTGCCAACGGAATCGCTAATGTCAAATGATAAAAAGTATGTAATTGTTACATAGTTAGTCCAATTGAAAAAAGACAAAAGTCCATCCAGTTTAACCATTAAAAAAAAAAAAAGTTGTAATCCTATACCCACAATTTATCCAGAGGAAGGCAAAAACCCAGCAAAGCATGATCCAATTTGATCCTGCAGGAAAAAAAATTCCTTCCTGATCCCCCGAGAGGCAATCGGATATTCCCTGGATCAACTTTACCTATAAATGTTATATCCAGTTATATTCTGTGTATCTAAGAAATAATCTTTTATTAATTTTATATTAATAATTTTTGTTTGTTCACAATGTATAAGTATATATTTTTTTAAATTTGTTTTTATGTTTTCAGGTTTATCTATGCTGTTGACCTCACGGGTCACACAATCAATGTCTATGAGAAACATGCGGACTGGTCCCTAACGTTTGTAAAGGTAATCATTCTTTAGATATTTGTTTTTATTCACTTACCTTTTTAATTTTTTTTAGCAGTTTTTGTAGCAGTGGTAGTATTGGTCTTTCTTTCTGTGTCTCTTTCCCACTCTTTCTATTTCTATTAAACTCAAATTCAATTTGTGGGCTATCCCAGGGCATGATAGACTCTCTATACACACTACCTTGTATATATTGCACATTTTATTTCAATTGTACGCAGTATCTTTTTTGAAGATTTGTATCAGGAGACATCTTATATACCCACATCCTCTCTCTCAATTGTACAAAATCCTAAATGCTTCTCCTGAAGGCTTTGTCCCTCCCTTCATCCGTAAATGGGAGAGCGAGCTGCAGGCATCCCATAATGGCATGAAGGGCCATTATATTTGCACTTAGATCTTCCATTTTCCCAAAAAATTCCAGGAACACAACTTTAAGTTGCTTTCATGTTGTTATCGGGTTCTAACATTTACTCCATAAGATGTACCCACAAACCCCAAATTCTATGCTGGAGATGTCTTTCTCACCCTAGTACTCTCCTTCGTGTTTTTTGGAGCTGTCCAAAAGTTCTCCATTTAGGCAGATGGTGTGGAAGATAATTCTACTCTTTACTTTAGGGGACCTAGGGCGGGACCCCATGGACTTTTTCCTCCATGTCAACCAAATACCATCAACACATTACAAATCTCTGTTGACAGATGTTGAATAAAGTTCATACTTTGGATACCAGGAAAGTAGAAATGTATGAAAACCCCTTCAGTATTATGGTTTGCTAAACTCAACCAAATCTGCAGATTGAAGACTCAACAACTTCCCTTCACATTAGAGAGGAACATTTAGGACCATGTGGCTCCCATGGACTGCTTTTTGAACTCACCTGCATACTAAGGAAGTCTGACCTCCCTTTGAATAACATTTGGATGCTTGGCACAGCTTAGCCAACCGTCTTGTTTGCTCCAGGTGGTTACTGAACCACCTGTCCTTAGGATATGGCTCCTCCCACTTGAGGTAGTGGCATTTTTTTTTTTCTCTGGACCCCTCTTTTATCTTGGGTTGGCTCCAGCTTCTTGTGCCCCCCCCCCCCTCCCCCAACACACACACTTTTTCCCCTGCAGCCCTTCAATGCCACTTTTCCCACTCACATTTTTTTATTCTCTTCCCTTGGTTCTCACCTGGTTTTTGCTTTGCTAGATATTGTTCTTCATTGATCCCCTTTCTTTGGATGAGTCTTGGGGCAAGGGGTAATATAAAAGGAACAGGAGGTGAGTCCAGGAATGGTATCAGGTTAGGGAGATAGGTGATGAGACTGTGCGGGGGACTTATAAGTCCATGATTTCTCATGTCCTTCTTAGTCTCCGATGGTCTACCAAATTGTGCAGCTATTTGTTCTGTTGGCTCCTCTTCTCCGAGTGTGGAGCTTCCTCTTCTATAGAAGTGAAGTCTTGGATGGGAGCGGAGGGTCTCTAGAAAGTAGTGTTCCTCACTGCTGGGTACTTCAGGCACCATATCCAGAAGTGGACCTCAACCTTCAGGACTCCTTGCTCACCCCACTGGCACAGTCTGCTCTACCTGGGCTTGTAGGTCTCTCCATGATGCCCTGGTTTGACTCCCAGGCTTTGGACACTCACACCTTTTCTTTCTCTCCCTTTTTGCTCTCTGTTTTTTTTTTCTTCTCTCAATTTCTCTTTTTTTGCTTTCTCTTTCTTTGTCCCCCTCTCTTATATCATCTCTATGTATAGGTATACATGGATATAAAATGCACTATTATATTTCCTTCTTTTTTTTTTTTTTGTACCAGGCAGTTGACGTAGATACTTGCGCGGATAACCTGTTTGTAGATCCAGTTGCAGGGGATATCTGGACAGGAGCACACCCACAATTATATAAAGTGTTCAATTACAAGGATGAAGACCCCCCTGGATCAGAGGTTAGTGTACACGTTATATTATAATAAAGTAATTAATCCCTTTCTATGCACCAAAATCATACATTTTAAAATCCAGCTTCAGGTTCAACAACCCTTCTTCAGCCCCCTTGGAACAACCCCTGCATTCCCGTGTGTCCAGGCCCATTAAAAACAATGGGTTGCATTTAGATCAGTGAAAGAATAAAACAAAACCTAAAAACATGTCAGTTTTGGTGTCCATGTGCAAGAGCCCTACTTCTTTCCTTACACTCACAAATGAGGTCTTCTGTGTTTATGCCGCATTTATGACTAAGAAGCACAATGGATACTAATGGAAGCTTTATTGATTTTGCAGGTTATTCGCATCCAGAACATTCATTCCAACCACCCGATAGTGACTCGGGTTTACGTCAATAATGGTTCGGTGATTCAGGGGACATCCATAGCCACAGTGTACAAGAAGAAGCTGATTATAGGGACCGTATTCCACAAAGCTCTCTACTGTCAGCTGGATTAAGTGAGCCACCGGGACCTGGAAAAAATATCCAACATAGATTGCAAAATACATTTTGGAAAATGATTTTCTTTGTGTTGCAGAACTCATTTTGAGAAGTTGAAAGTCCTTGCATATGATTCAGAGACAGACCCAGGAGAGGACAATAGACTCTGCATGGAGTGTGCAATATGTAGAGGGATGATGCGATTAGCTTGCTGCTTCTTGTGCTAATTCCCCCTCTACTGGTCAGTGGTAATATTGCATCGATATGTTTCACACCAATGCGTTTTTTAGTGCTTTATGCAGAAACGCACTACAGTCTATTTAATATGGTTTCCTATGAGACATCTTTACTTTTTTGAGTTTTTGGAAAGGGTCAGTGACTTTTTTAAGCCCGGGTTCACATATGTGCGGTGCGATATATCACATGTGATTCGCACAGGAACCGCACCGAATTCCTGTGCAAGTCACATGCGATTTGTGTGCGGTGCGATTGGAGCTATATATTCTGTATGGCTCTATTCGCACCACACCCGCACCAAAAACCTGCAGGACCCTTTTTTGGGTCCACACTAGAATCAGATCGCATGGATGGGTATTCACACCTATGCGATCCGATTCTGCACATTGCACCGCATTTTGCAGACTGCTTTCAGGGTGTTGTTAACTTAACATACACATTTGCAGCAGTTTGCATGAATGGGGGTGCAATTCTGATGTGGCGCAGAATTCGCACTGAAAACGCTGAAGCCGGGCTGAATGCAAAGAGCAGCGTTTTTACTACTACAGAGTTCAATGGAGAAGCTGTTCAAATACATGTAGTGTGTTTTTGCTGCATTTTTACTGTGTTTTGTGTTTTTTATTTCTGCCAAGCAACACAAAAATTTCCACAAAAGAAAAAAGCTGAATAAAAATGCAAAATGCTGTAAAAACACGTCAAAAACGCACGTGCAAAAAATGCAATGCAAAAAGCATTAAAAAACGGATCAAAAGCAAAAAGCATAGGTGTGAACCGAGGGCAAAGGATAAGTTCACCTTTATACAAAAATAATATTAAATGCACTTTTTTTACAGTTAAAAAAATTTTCCTTTTTTTGTTTTTGGTTGCAAGAGCCTGTGAACCATTGCACCAACAATCAGCAGATCACTGGTGCCATGCAGGTCTCCTGCAGATCTGTCAGTATATCTGCTTGCCCGTATGGGATGTATGAGCAGGCAAATATAGTGACAGGAAGAATGAATGAATGACCACAGAGCCGTGGTAGTTCCTGAGGACCACAAGCCGACAACTGCTATGACTGTCCAGACTTGTAGTTCCTCATTCACAGAGGACAGAGGCACTCTATTCAAAAAGTGACAGCTAGTATGGGGAACTTCACCCTGTGCTGCTGTCACAGGGAAGGGGAGGATCAGGCGGCGGCTGCAGCATTGGGAACATGTTACAAATGGGTGGAACATGTAACATGTTCCCAAAGGTGAATTTATGCTTTAAAAGATACTGTAAGTCCAGGGGCGGACTGACAGCTCATGGGGCTCCCGAGCAATAGGGGATTATGGGGCCCCTGTGTCCTCGCCCAAACTCAAAGCACACCCAAAAAAAAGCCTATAAAAGGTACCAGGGGCATTTCATGGGGTCCCCTATTGACCCCGGGCCCTCGTGCAGTGCCCGAGTGCTCGAATGGTCAGTCCGCCCCTGTGTAAGTCCATCTTTCTGACCACATTTTTTGTCGGGTGCGATTTCTGAAGACTTTATTGCTACTTGTGAAGATTTTCAATGATTTCTTGCAATTTGCAGTGCAATTTCCATTATATTCTGTGTTTATGAAATCGCAACAAAACTGCAGAAAATGGAAGACCTACTTTAGAAATCACGCTTCAGAAAATCTCACGTTAAGATCCTGATATTAGATGCGATTTCAGGTGTGACTTAAATTCCCAAATCCCACCGGCATGACCGGGCACTAAGGCTCCATTCACACCAATGCGTTTTTAGTGCTTTTTGCAGAAGCGCACTACAGTCCATTTAACATGGTTTCCTATGGAACATGTTCACATCTTTGCTTTTTTGAGTTGCTGCGTTTGCTTTTTTTGGAAAGGGTCGGGGACTTTTTTTTAAAAGCAAAAAACAGCATTTTTGCTACAATAGAGTTCAATGGAGAAGCAGCTGAAATACATGGTAGTGCGTTTTTGACGCATTTTGCATTTTTATTCTGCCCTTCAAAAAAAATCCACTTTAACAAAAAAAAAAAAAAAAAAAGAACTGAACTAAAAGTAAAACGCTGTAAAAATGCATCGAAAACGTGTGTAGAAAAACACAAAATGAACTGCGAAAAGCACTGCAAAAAGGACAAAAAGCAAACTGCATAGGTGTGAACAGAGCCTAATGCAGGCCATACATGGGTCGCATTTCGAATGAATTTTCCTCATGTTGCTACAGAAAAGAATTTTCGTGACCAAGAATTTTCTTTTCTGTCCAGGTCACAGTTCATGCTCATTTCATTTTCTATTTCATTTCTCACACAATTCTCCCATCACTGATTAGAAATTTGTTTGTTTTTCAAGAAATTTCCAAAATGCCCGATCACTCAATACCGATGGTCACAAGAAAATTAGCCATTTCTGTGGCCCAGTAATGGTGAGAAATTTGAATTAAAATTCTTAGAAAAGATTTTGCAAAGAAAATTCTTTGAGAATTCGACCCGTGTATTAAGGGTGTAGCATGAAACATGGTCATAGTCTATTCTCTGCAGGCTCCTGTTATTAATTAAATGCATTGTAGCTGTGCATGGCTTCGCCTGTACGGCTGCATCGTTCACATAGGCCCCTTCACACGGGCGCTCCGTATGTCCGTTTTTTATCTGTCCGTTTACGGATGAAAAATGAACACCCATGTCTTTCTATGGACTAGCGGATGTAAACAGATGATCATCTGTTTATGTCCATTAAAATCTGTTTTTTTTTTAATGGAAGAAAACCCTATTTTTCTTCTGTTAACAAAACCGGAAAGGACAAAAAATAGATGTAAAACGGATGGAAACCGGATATAAACGGACAAAAACGCATGTAAACAGACGGAAACCGGATGTAAACAGACAAAAACTGTTGGAATTTTTATGTAAACGGACGAAAACAGATGTAAATGGACAAAAACAGATGTAAACAAATGAATAATGGAAGTAAACAGACAAAAAAGAATGGAAAATGGATGAAACATGGATGTAAACTGATGAGAAACTGATGTGAACTGAGACGTTTTTTCTTGGAAAAAACGTGACTGAACTGATGAAAAAAACGGAACGCCCGTGTGAAAGGACCCATACAGGAACCTGCCACTGTGGCAGAGGGATTTGTGTGTGTTGATGTCACCGTACTTGTAGTCCATTGATTCTTCCTTTAGTCCCATAACAGAAAGCAGACTTTCTGCAAAAGTCTGTGCATTGCACCTGTGGTTGAAATTCTTTATAGGTTCCAATAAAAAAAGAATAATAAATGCACTTTTTATCAATCAATATGGGTGCATTTATTTATTTATTTTGCAAAAAGTGGAATTAACCTTTAAGTATAACTAAAAACTCCATTATGACAGTCGAAATCAGGAGTATTGAATTCAAATTCACCAAAGTCTGGGCAGTAACATTTGCATGCAGCAGAGGTCCAAATCTCATGTTGGCCCCTGTAGTGCATTTTCGTGTGAACCAAACCACATGTTGCTGCGGTGTGATTTTAAAAAAAAAAAAGGCGGGGACTTCTTCAGGTTTCTAGCAGGTAGTGCTGACCTACCCACAACGTGTGCACCAAATGTATATGTACAGATGTGAACCTGTTCTCCCGTCAGTGTCCTAAATCCCCACTGCACATCACAATCCCCTCCTCATTCACAGCAAGATCCCTATTCATGAGTGTCCTGAGCTCCCCCTTTACATCACCCCCCCTCCACCCCTTTCACAGTTGTGTTCTCACACTTCCTTGACATGAACCCCCTCCCACCCCCACCCCGACAGTACTGTCCTCTGCTTCCTTCACTGAAGAGTACTCTGCCCCTTTTTACATCACCCATGTTACTGTCCCCAGACCCACCCCCATATTACTGTCTTCAGCCACCACATTACTGTCCTCAGCCCCTCCGTGTTGCTGTCCTCAGCCCACCCACGTTACTGTCCTCAGCCCTCCCCATGTTACTGTCCTCAGCCCACCGACGTTACTGTCCTCAGCCCTCCCCATGTTACTGTCCTCAGCCCACCCACGTTACTGTCCTCAGCCCTCCCCATGTTACTGTCCTCAGCCCCCACACAGCACAGTCCTTAGTCCCCACATTACTGTCCTCAGCCCCTCCACGTTACTGTCCTCAACCCCCCTCCATGTTACTGTTCTCAGCCCAACTCCATGTTACTGTCCTCAACCCCCCTCCATGTTACTGTTCTCAGCCCCTCCCACTTTAATGTCCTCAGCACCCCCCCCACACACCACAATCCTTAGCCCCCCCATATTACTGTCCTCAGCTCTACCACATTCAGTCCTCGGCCCCCTTCACACTAAGCCCCTTTAACTCCCCCCCCCCCCCACTGTCCTACCTTACACAGACAGTGATTGATTGCTAGGACTAATAAATACCACAGTGTAGCGCTAACAGAAAACTAAATGATAGCTGGTGAATAATAAATCGTGATAATAAATACAAAATTAGTGCACAATAACCGATCCCCCTGACATCCACATCAGAGGGATCCACATATAAATAAATATATAAATATAACAATGATTGACAGATTATGTGTAACACGGGAATTCCCTCTCATTGGGAATATACTGTGCACATAGTGAAGTGTTATCCGTGCACACAAAAAATGTGAAATGCCACTATAAATGTGCAAAACCAACTGCAACAAAAATGCTGTAAAAAGTCCCAAAAACAACACATTTGGTGGTGCTCCAACTTCACTCTCATGCAGTTGTAGTGATGTGTAGTTGATCAACAGGTGATAATCCTCCAGTGGCCAGAATACCCCCTCACCTCCTTACTTAGACCCCAAAGGGCCAACTCGCTTTGGGGATCAATAGATCCTACAAGGACAGACTCCTCCTAGGCTTCCTCTCAATAATGGTATGCGTCTCCAGCCTCCAACCAGCTAACAGCAAGCTTCTCCCAGGATCATAGTAAAACACAAACAGAGATCCTCCATAGCGTAACCTTTTTATTCCAGCATAAAATTCAAATAAAAAATGCCAACTCACATTGTTTTCTTCACATCTCAGCTCGTCTACCACATGCTATGGGTGTACTGCATGGGTATCTGAAAAGGTGTTCCAATATGGCCCCCATGCCGGAAGTGACGTCACCCACGTTCCCGGAAGCTTCTCCCTGCGTACCGACGCGTTACGTCACATTCAGGGACCCTGAGGAAGTCATGTGCTAAACGTGACGCAACGCGTCGGTACACAGGGACCCTGAGGAAGCCACGTGCTAAACGTGACACAACACGTCAGTACGTGGGAAGGAGCTTCCGGGAACGTGGTGGATGGAGTGGTGGATGGAGTGGTGAGGGGTTAGAACCACTGTCAGGTTTTGTTCTGTGTGTAATCTTCTCTGTTTGTCCTGGTGACCATCTTCCAAAGAGGACACTTGTTTAGGTGACAACTAAGAGGAGATTTCTCCTCACTTTGAAGACATTTTCTCTCACTTCCTGTTGTGTTAGTAAAGGAAACCTTCCCAAGTGGACACAGACAGCTAACAAACCCCAAAAATGACAAAGCTTGTAACCAATCCCTACTCTATTCATATAAAAAAATGATTATAGATACATTTTAGGGTTCAATGCTCAAGAATCACAAGTACAACTAAAGGCAAAACATTTTTTTTTAAAGTTTTCGGTAGAGTGGAGAGGGATTAGAACCCCTGTCTGGTTTTTATTACTATCCGTGCCCCCATTAGGGAGATTCCCCCTCTCTATTTATCCAATTTACCATTATCATTGAAAGTGAAAGTAAATCCCAATTTCAGGTTGTCCCTAGAAAAGTAATGGAGGGGAATCTTCCAATGGGGACACTAGTTCTGGTGAACTGGGGGTCCCCAGAGGGATTCCCTTAAATTGCAGGGATTTCCTCTCAAGTCCTGTTTGACTATGGGACAGGAAGTGAAGGGAAATCTCCCCAATGGGACACAGTTGACAAAAAAGAAAAACCGACAAGGGTTATAACCCTCCCTCAATCTACATTTTACCCTTAATTCTACTTTAACTATCAGCATTGGGTGGACAGATCCTTTAAAATGTGCTGCTGCCCCAAACAAAAAATTCTGCAAATATTATAAAGACATTTCTGCAGAAAAAAACCTACAGAACATGCAATGGTGCAGGGGTCACAAAAAATGAATACAAACCGTGAATGGAAATCTGGACTGTGCTATAGAGGTGACCATCGCTAGTCTTCCTCCTCTTCTTCATGCATAGATTTTTGGGTCAATCCCTATTTTTCACCTTGGCTCCACACCAAATCTGGCAAAATTTAGACTTGCGTGTTTATACATCAGGCTTCTACCAAACATGCGTTCCTCAGTCTGGTTTTTGCCACCGCCATCTCCCGTCTATGGCCAGCTTAGCTTGAGCGCTTTTTATTTATGAAACATTATGAAGAAATCACATGGCATACTCTTCATCAGGGCATTTTATTGCGTTCATTATCTAACAATAATGATAATAATATTAATTGACAAGAGGTCTATTTACATGACAGAAGGCATTTTAGAACAGAAAGTTGAAGAGCATCAGATGTCAGCAGATGGCTGGTCCTTAAAGTCGAACCCCAGGCAGATACAAAATACACGTATTAATATGGCTCTGTATTCAC